AGGTCGGACGTCCTGATCCGGACAAACCTGCTCATCCAGCCTCGATCTTTGTCTTCATCGATGCTGGAGAATGGGGGTTTGCTAGCCCGGCGGGCCAGTTTTATTAATCCCCCTCGAAATATTCGAGGGCTGTATAGTCGAAGAAGATGGTCGAGGGTAAAGGGAAAATCGCCCTCGACTCTCTCAACAAAAAACCGAAAGAGATATACGATCCGCCACATCGAGGGGTGGATCTGACCTAAGGTCACCTCGTACCGCCGGCAGAACTCCACTATAATGGGTTCTAAGGGGCCTAAGGTGAAGGGATATGTATATACACTAAGATATCCTTCAACGTGAGTCATAATCGACTCGTCACGGGAAGGGGCGACCAGGTCTTTCCCTTCCCATCTGCATTCAGTCCTCACCCGGTCTAGGCAACCGGGAGTGATTAGACTGATATACTCCGATGCCGGTTCGCCGCGGCCCGGGACCGATGATGGGTTTTCAACCTGGAAGTCGGCAGATACCGAGCAACCAGTCGGTGTGAAAGCTTTCAATGGGGGTTCTGGCGCAGGTTCATCAGATCTAGCGGGGCTCGCGGCCGAGCTTGGTCTAGAAGGAACACTTTGTGAAGTTTTCGCCATTTCTTGAAGCTTTACGAAGAGATGAAAAGAAAATACAACCAACGCAAAATTTGAGAAAGATAAGAAATGTTGAACCTGGAAGGGTCGTTTATACTTTTCCCATGAGGCGGTGGCACGAATCGCGAAGTTACAGATACGAAGCGACAGATAATTAAGAGAAGCATTAAATGCCTGCAGCAGGCGTGGTCAGAGCACTCGATGGCTTTTTCACCTGGCGTATGGCCATACGTCACGGGCATCACGTCACCGATCATATCGTTTATTATCATTACTCTATAATAAACGAGGGGACTATCTGTATTGGGTGATACCCTTTTTTTGCTTGAGCCCGACCGGGTTGGGTCCGGTCCGGGGCAAGTCGGGGCCATCGAACCCGACCTGGATGCAAGGAAGAACGACGGCCACGTCTACAACCGAGGTCGAGTCATTTCGAGACCGTTGCAGAGCTCGATATGAGTCACCACCGGATGGAGAAACACACAAGGTCGGAAGCCGGACTCGTAACGGATAACCAAGCGTCGCCGGATATCTCGCCCAAACGTGATTTTCTCAACCACTTCAGGCCATTAAGGCGTAATTACAGGGATCCACGATGTAATTAATTTACCTACCTTATTTTTATCCTTAATCATAATGTATAAAAGGGGAGAAGACCCCATAAAGAGGGGATCAGAAACCATTACACTACAGTACCATCTCTCTAAATTCTTGTACGCTATCAAGCACAATTGTTCTAAGCAATATTATATTCTGCGATTATTCACTTTAACAGCAATTGTTGAGTCTTTATCTTTATTTTCCTCAACCTAAACCTTTTGTATCTTTTAGTTCACGGATCCTTAAAACCCCATATAAATTCAATTGTTATCCGGATTCTAGGGTAAACACTTCCCTCCCCCCCCCCCCCCCCCCAAGCAATTAAAATAGTCACAACATGCATTCATTTATCTACAGTCACCCAGACTCTTCGCATATTTGCTGCAGGTCGTTGTTGATTTCGACCAAAGTAACGTGGCTTGAAATTCTTCTCAGTTGATATCTTTACTGTTTCCTTATTCTCTTCTTGTGTTCCCAACTGTTTTCTTGTAGAATGCCTTGGTTTAGAGGTGTTTGATTTCGCATATCTATCTGCTTCGTATGATAATGGCTGAAGACCTAGTAAATCCTGCTCAGGAACATATCCAGTTGGCCTTTTAGATTCATCCATTCTCCTAAATGTAATTGAAATCCTGCACATTGTAGAAGGTTAATGAGATGCTACGTCTTAGGCAAATGTTTGACAGAAGATTCACCAACAGGAAACTAAAGTTCCACTTTCAGTATAAACCTTTTAGTAGGAACAGCTGGCACACAGTGTTTAGCCACATCAGCTCCATTTCCATTCAAGACAAGAACAGACCTGTAGGAAGGTTATGTCACAATTGATAGTAGTCGAAATCTTATAAGGACAAAGCTAAAACCCAGAATACTTACCCCACTGGCAAGGGAATTGCAATTGCACCGGCAAACTCACCAGGAGCCACTGTTTTCAAATTTGATCCAAAAACTATATTACACTCGCTAAGGAATGAGACAGTACAAAATGGACGAACAAACTCATGATTGTAGATATGAGGTGGAATGCAATCCCCCTCTTCATAAATATTGATAATACAGCTGTCTGGAACACAATTTGGAGGCATAACATGCCATCTTACAAGCCTTCTAATCATGACCTTAAGAAGATTAGGCAATGGATCAACAGTTTCAGTCTTGAAAATCCCTGGGGGATTGCCTTTCTTATCCTGCCATAAAGAAACTTCAGTTATAGTCATATATCTACATTCCATTTTTATAAGTGATCTACTCATATCTGTCACAACCTAATTGAATAAGGTCAGAAATAAAGGGGAAAAGGTTTTCTCTCAGAGATGGACTAAAATCTAAAGCATACAGGCGATGATTCTGAGCCTCTTTTCTTCTTCCCTGCCCCCCTCCCACTTGGAGCTTGGGGGGAAGGAGAGATTAGGATAATTTCAAAGATAGTCGAAGACTTACCTTAGCATAGTTGTAGCAACAACCAAATTGGATTGTCACACGTCCTTTACCCCTCATCCACTTCTGTGGCGCTGTATCAGTTCGCTCTACAACAATCAAAATAGAGCAGGTCAGAGCACGCTAACGCACAGAATTAACAACTGAAGTACAAAACAAATAGGTATTGAAACATAAGGAGGAAGTAGATAGAATATTTTACCTTCGTTCCACAATCATCAAGGAAAAGGTAAAACCACATCAAATTGATTTGAAGAAGTGAGTGGAGAGGAAAAAAAATCCTTAAATCATTATGATGACCACCAGAAGTGGAATTAAGATTCAACACTGAAATTTGAAGAGAAGCATAAAACATTTGTGCAAAATGCACATGCCTTAACAAAGTAACTGAGACACTTTGCACAATTAACTTAAAATCGCCGTAGAGCAACTCTAAATTGATGCCTCAGTCTTTGGTTTTGGCTTTTCTCCCAAATTCCATGCTCAATAAAATTCTGGAATACCTTATCTAGTATTTTTTCAATCAGGGAACAATTTCTAAGGTTTAACAGGAAATGAGTAACTAATCGTGTAATCTACTTCATTCAAACGAAACATGAACAAGTTTTCTCTGTTAGATTTAGCAAGGGCTAAGGCCTCATCATAAATTCCTTAGTACAACAGTAACTTTCATCTGGAAAAGAAAGAAAAAAAGGGTTCGCAAAGTTAATAAAGAAGAACTGACCTTTTAATTGCCCATTCTTCCCCATCTCCTCAAGCTTCTCTACAAATTTAACAATCCTATTTTGCTCAGCCATGCTAAAGACACCAGTATGTAGCTCCAAGCCATCAAGTATATTCACAACTTCCCCATTAACTCTTTCCAAGCATATGAAATCCTTCTTCCTCTTTACATTACAAAACCGAATGTGCTCTCTTTGTTCCCTTGACAGTTCCGTTTTTCGCTTAGTCTCCTGAACAGAAGTTTCCTCTTCATTCACACCATTGCCATTACCTAACTGACTACTCCAGCTAGTCGACTCACTAATATCCTCAGCATCAAGCTCATCCTCCTGAGCCATATCTGCCCATGACATTTTCATCCTCAGGCTTGCCGCAGGTATGGGTGAGCTGAATGTTTTACTTCTCGAGGCCTCTTCAACAAGTCGTGATGAGCGATTTGCACCACCTACATAACTATCTGATCTATTCCTACGCACCGATGCCTCATCAAAATGCTCTGGCCCATCTGCGCCGTCTTTCCAACGACCCAATGAGTTTGTATCTGCAGTATCATAAAAGTCAGCACACTCTTTCCAACTCCCAAGTGAATTGTTGTCACAATTGTCAAGATTTCCGTTACAGTCATTCGAATCAGGAAGTTCTGGAGTAAAAATTGTGAAATTCTCTTGTTGCTTCAAATGTTCTGCACTATCTGCGCCGTCTTTCCAACTACCCAATGAGTTTGTATCGGCAGTATCATATAAGTCAGCACACTCTTTCCGACTCCCAAGTGAATTCTTGACACAACTGTGAAGATTTCCTTTACAGTCGTTCGAATCAGGAAGTTCTGGAGTAAAAACTGTGAAATTCTCTTGTTGCTTCAAACGTTCTGCACTATCTGCGCCGTCTTTCCAACTACCCAATGAGTTTGTATCAGCAGTATCATATAAGTTAACACACTCTTTCCAACTCCCAAGTGAATTATTGACACAATTGTCAAGATTCCCGTTACAGTAGTTTGAATCAGGAAGTTCGGGAGTCAAAACTGTAAAATCCTCTTGTTGCTTCAATCGTTCTGCATCACCAGCAGCCTCTGCAGTCATAGCAACAAACTCTCTGATCAGAGAACTCACTAAATCTATAATTTCACTTTATCATAATCCATAACATAAGAATGAAAAGATAAAAAAATCAGTTTGCTAATTGCTACACCACATCATTATCCACCTAAGAAATTTCTAGCTTTCACAACTTATCTACAACTATATGCATACTATGTTGAACCATGTTGAGTCATGTAATGTTATGTTCCACATTGGATTTATAAGGACATCCAAATGGGTTAAATGTCTTGGTTACTCCACATATTGGGCTTTAAGCTCTTCCATAAGATGCTCAGGTTCTTTCATATAGTATCATAGTCAACTTTTGTTATTCATGCTTTTACACCCTTAAGTCCCCATTAAAGTCCATACTTGAAACTAGGTCGAGTTATACTTGCAGGAAAGTGTTATATAATGTCAAGTCTCACATTGGTATATAAAGACGCTTAGATGAGTTTACAAAGATCTTGAACTACTTCACCCATTGACTAAAATGCTCTAGGGCTAAAAAGATCTTGAACTACTTCACCCATTAACACTACTTGAATCTTGAGGATATTGGTACTCGGATAGCTGGGTAGTTGAGATACAGGAGTAACAGTATGGAGATCCCAACCACCACATTCAGTGTGAGCTCATCTGCTCAAACCTTGGTGGACAAGATTCTTAATTGCTCCCGTGCTTATGGGCGGTAACAGGCCCAAGACAGAGTCAGGAATTTATGCAAAGAGATTTAAAAGGAAAATGTCACACGTGGAATTTGAAGTTGTGACCTAATGCAATTTTTTAACACCCTTTGCCACTACACTAGAATCTAGAATCTTACCTAATGTCAAGGGGATTCAAACAGTTCACATATAACCAAAAAAAAGAAAAAACTCGTTTTTGCCCTATTTGCACAATATAATTTTTCGATGGAGGGGATTCAATTGAACCCCAATGGCTCTACATAGCTCCGCTCACCCAAGTTGGCTGGTTCACCACCCTATCGAAAAGCAGAAAAAATATAATGGGGTTTCAAAAAAAAATTCACAATAAAGAGGAAAACCTAAAAGCTGGAGAATTTACGTGTATGGTGAGCATTGTGTGCAAGTGTATTGAGGTAATGCACAAAAAGCTGGGGAATTTATTATATGCATAATGTGAGTATTATTACACAAAGTACGAACATTACCAATTCCTTAAACAAGTTACAACATTATTACAAAATTTTAAAAGGGATAAGAAGAGAGAATTACCGAGGTCGAGGGATCGAATGCAGTGGGAGAGTGTGAGCGTACAGCTTTGGCAGAGGCCACGAGAGAGAAAAGGGAACCAATTAGATAGAAACTCAGAGGCAATTAGGAGTTCGTCGGCGGTGTAACTGAGGAGGAAAGGGTCGATTTTTCGGCTTCGTTGGTGATCGGACATGGCGGCAAGTTGACTCAGTGAATTGGGGTGGTCGAGTCAATGAGTATGGAATTGCAAGTAATGCAAATTATTTATTTAAAATAGTACTCCCTCCGGTACAATATAAATGATTTTTTTGGATATTTTTACACAGATTAAGAAATCCACCTTTTAGTATTAATTAGTAATACAATTGACTATATTAACCTTTACTATCTCACATAAACACTCCTAACAATTATTCCAATACTATTTACTCCAAGGACAATGTAGGAAAAAAATAATTAATTCACTCTTGAAATCTGGAAAAATCACTTATTTTGAATCACAAGAAAAAGATCAAAAAATCACTTATTTTGGAGCGGAGGGAGTAATTGTTTCAGCTTAATATATATATACACTAAAATATTACTACTACTCAAAAAAGAACTAGGATTGGTGGGCAAGTTTAACTCGAAAAGGGTAGAATTGTCAGTTCATGTCAGAAAACAGTGGCGGTTGAGGTTTCGGAGCACACCCCGGCATTGATTTTCGCACCTCGATTAAAGGGCGATGGAATGAGAGTTTCTCTTGAGTTTTTATATTTTTTTTTCACTTAAAATTGAAAGACTTGGATATTTAATCTTATCTATATCTATATATACTATATTAAAAATGGAACCCGACAAATTAAAAGTAAATTATCAAATTACCCTTCTAAAAACCTTAAATATCTTTCTTAAAAAGATAATAATTGATAATAATAATTTGCGATTTGAACCTATGTAGTTTTTCAGTAGAATTTTGATTGCTATTGTTTGACAAGTTAATGTGGATTATTCTGCATTCTTTTAGTTTTTGCTTGTGTTTATTCTGTAGCACTGCATAAACTCGCCATAGAATTTTTATAAAATATATCATTATCCAGTAACGAAAATACAAATAATATTGTCATTCGCCAGCATAACTTTAGACCCAGAGTCTAGTTGTTTCCTAATTTTGGAACGACAGGAAATAAATTAAAATTCTGGGTTTAATTTGGTTCCTTACATGTCTTTTTTGAGAAGCACTATTGTAAACAATCCTATTTCATTATAATTGTATTTTCCTTTTTCCAGCACTTTAATGTGAATGTCATTATGCATGTTTTGGAAACGAACACTTGTAATTGATCTGGAAAATTTTACGGTTCATGATTTCCAAAAAAAAATTCATGGAAAGAAGGTACCACCTACTATTATGAACATGAGCTGAGTGGGGTTTTTTTTTTTTTTTTTTTTCAATTTAAAAGATGAGATTGGAGACATTAATACAATTCATGAACTGATTACCGTGCATTATCTTCAATGAGTCTATTAAATTGAAAGAACTTTTAGTTGTTTGTTTGCCATATATCTAGGCGTACTACGAATGGCATATTTTGGCCATAGCCAGTTATAACAGAAGAGGGAAGGACTTTAAATTCATTCTTTCATGTGCTAATTTCTGACGCAATGATTCAATTCTATAGTTATTTTGCTTTTCATGATTCTATTTTCATTTTATTACAAGCTGACAACCAATAGGAGATTATGAAATTTACTGGCCATCCTTGTTCATAGTGGTTGGAGAGTTCTCTCCAAACTACTAGGTCGAGGGTTCAAAGTTGGTAGACAATCTCAAAAAAAAAAAAAGGAGATTATACAATTTAGCAAGACGACCTCGAAGGTGGGCTAAGTTTATAATAGAACTTAGAACGATGCACTCTGCTTTCTAAATTTATATTGACTACTTATAACTTATTCCATCCTTTGCATATACGAAGAAATATTTCATACTATTAACTCCATTCTTTTAGCACACTTGACAAAAACATTTTACTTAACTTGTACTATAACTATGTTTTCCAGATGCAGAGATATAAGCTCACCTGGATTTTTTATGAGAGAATCTTATGGTAAATGATGTTGTTTTATAGATTTGATCAACACAATCATATCATCTTCGTAGGTTGATATTCAATCATCTTGGCTTGTACAAATAATTCACCATATAATGATTCAGACTTGGAATACACGTGCGAAAAACTAGTTTTCTAAATGTATTCAATTTATTACTAAATCTTAATTATACCCGCGTTTATATTATTGGTTTAATTGCATCAAATATTACAAGGAAGGTAAGTGTTTTTATTTTAGAACACAAAGAAAATATTCACAATTGAACCATACATATGACTGTTATATGTAAGATTAGCCATAAACAATAATGTTAGCTTAATTGCAGAAAGTCAATGGAAAATTTGAGGACTAAGCAGCTGAATCAGGAACTTTACAGAGAAGCTCGAGAGGATCAGCAATGGCGATAGAAGAAGAAGATGAATTTGAGAGAAATAAGAGGATTGAGAGAGAAGTTATAATATTTGTATATTGATGATTGTAATATGTAAAGTACACTGATTTATAGAGAATACAAGATCACAGAATACAAGATCACACAATTCAGTCTTGATTCTCTCCACTCTCAGCTATCAAATCGACTAATTACTAACTCCAACTAACTTTTAACTAACTCTGCCGATGTGGCATTCTTATGAACTAACACTAACTAATTTCCGGAAGAACTATATTTGTGTATCAATACTCCTCCCTACATAAGATCCTTGACCACAAGGATCAAAGGCTGGAAATCTTGTCTCGAGCATATTAAAGTATTCCCAAGTAGCATGATCTACTGATAGGCCTGACCACTTGACCAAGACCTATGCGACTGCTTTATTACCCTTCTCCTCCATCCGTCTTTGCAAAATAGATTCAGGGTCGGGGCATTGAGGGCTAGCAACATCAGTGATAGGAGGGTATGAAATCTGAGCAGGCACCTCAATTGTACTTCTTCAATAAGGACACATGTATAGTAGAATGTATCTTTACTGAAGAAGGAAAAAGAAGAGTGTAGGCCATTGACCCCACCCTCCTTATGATCTGAAAAGGGTCATAATACTTAGAAGCTAGTTTGTGAAATGGTTGTGTTGATAGGGTAATCTGTTTGTAAGGTTGGACTTTCAAATATACCTAATCTCCTACTTTAAATTTCCTGTCACTCCTATTAAAGTCAGCTTGCTGCTTCATTCTGAGTTAGGCTCTCATTAGGTGATGTTCAATAGCTGCAATTTGAATTCTCTATTCAGCAATGTGTTATCAACATCAGCTGATGCATATTCACCTTGCAAGTAAGGTAGATGTAAAGGAGGTGGCCTTCCATAGAGTGCCTCATAAGGAGTGGTTTTAATAGCAGAATGATAAGATGTATTGCACCAACAGAGGCTGTAGGTGACCACTCGAATCCATATTTCTTTAGAAGGACTGTTAGGGGTTTGCATATGATGCCAAATCCTTGTACGAATCTCCTATAATAACCAGCTAAACCAAGGAATCCCCTTAATTGTTTAACAATAGTTGGAGTGGGCTAGTTTCTTATAGCTTCTACCTTTTTGAGGATTAGTTGATACTCCTTCCTCAGTGATAAAATGGCCCAAGTATTCTATTCTCTATACTCCAAAGAAACATTTACTTTTCTTAGCAAAGAGCTGATGTTTTTCCATTTTAAGGAACGCTGATTTGAGGTGGTATAAATGATCTTCCATGCTCTTGCTGTAGATTAGAATGTCATCAAAGAATTACGACACATATTTCTTAAGGAAAACATGAAAAATTGATTTCATCAAGCCTTAAAAAGTAGCTGTAGCATTTAATAATCCAAAGGGCATCACTAGGTATTCATAGTGACCTGGATGAGTCCTAAAAGCAGTCTTTGGTACATCTTTTGTTGCCATTCTTAGTTGGTGGTAATGAGACCTTAGGTCTATCTTTGAACAAACTTTAGATCCTCCTAGTTCATCCAACAAATCTTCCAGCACTGGTGTGGAAAAATTATTTTTTACAGTGTGTTTGTTTAGGTCCCTGCCATATTTCTTCCCAACTAAAACCACAGGTGCAACAAAAGGGTTATAGCTTGGTTGTATTATCCCTTGATCTAACATTTGTTTGACCAAAGAATCTATCATATCCTTTTTCACTGAAGGATATCTGTTTAACCAAAAAGTCGTTAAACCATCTAGTTAAACCAATTAATAGAGAGAGAGAATGTAAATCTTAGCCAAACGTAATTAACTCTAGATCGCAACATATTGAGTATAAAAATTGGAGAAGAACAAACTGATTTAATATTTCTTAAGATGGTTATCATACATCAAGTGGGAATGGTAAGCTTACATCTGTGACAGGCTTGTATTACGATTGAAAGATCATAAAAGAAGAAAAGGAAGCCGTTGATAGCTGAGAAATCTTCCCCTCACGGTTTCGTAATATTGCTCCTCCCTGTGACAGCCAGACCTGGATACGCTCTGATGGTTTCATGCACTATCCCGATCGGGGCATTTGTGTTCCTATATATGGGGGGGGGGGACCCACCATTCGGTTGTTACGCTTTTCGATTTACTTGAGGAATTTCGCAAACTTCCACCTTCTTCCATATTTCACACTTGTGCTTTCGTCAGAATTTGACGTGACCACCCTCTTTATTTCTTCATCACTCTTGTTTATCCCGATCAAGCTAGATAAATGGATGATACCTCTTCCCAAACTGACATATTCGTCGAAGCTCCGGTGTCGGAAAATGATGTACCCCTTCTTGGAGAGGAATGGAGATGGCAGAAGATGAGGGGTCTCCGACTGTGGCTGAGATACTGCCCCGTCTGGGGAAATTATGGACCGACTTTAACAGCCCGGCTGGAGACGAACCGAACCTGTCCTCTCCACCATGGATAAAGTGGCGATTATGGCGCTCAAGGCTATGTGGGGAATCCCAAACCATATCGACATGATACCGGCGATGGGGGCGGACATCGTACATTTGAACCGCCTGGGGTATTGCGCATTTTATGCGTATCCTTTTGTTGTTAGATATATGCTTCCTCTCCCTTCTCTAGTGATAGACTTCTGCCGCTTCTACGAGGTGTTCCCGGCTCAACTCTCACCGTACGCGTACAAGCTCTTCCTCATGCTTATCAAGTATGCGGAGCTCGCTGGTCGAGGGATTACTTTGGGGCACATGCTT